GCCTCCTGACCGTCCGCATCCTCCTCGGAGTGTTCGAAGCAGGCTTCTTCCCCGCCGCTGTGTACCTCGTTTCTTTTTGGTACATGCCGAGAGACCTGGCTATCCGTATTGCCTGCTTCTACTGCACGTCCTCGCTCTCTGGTGCGTTCTCCGGTCTTCTGGCCGCTGCAATCGCCAAGATGGATGGTGTGGGTGGTTACGAGGGCTGGCGCTGGATCTTCCTGCTGGAGGGCATTGCTACTGTTCTCCTTGGTATTGCGACCTTTTTCTTCCTGATCGACACTCCGGCTCTGAGCACCAAGTGGTTGTCCCCTGATGAGATTCGTTTCCTTGAGATCCAGCATTTTATCAAGCAGGGCGGCCGCTTCAGAGACGAGGAGAACGAGGACAAGTTCAAGTGGGGCGATATGAAGGCGGTTATCACGAACTGGAGATTGTACATGCAGGCGTGGGCTCTGCTGGCCACTTCTGCTTGCAGTTATGGTAAGCCAGAGCACTTTGCAACCTCTAGTGCGCATAAAACAACATCTAACAAAGTCTTGTACAGGAACCAAGTTTACGCTTCCCACAATCACCAAGGCGATGGGATTCAACAACACCACAGCTCAGCTGATGACCGTCCCTGCCTACGTCGCTGGTGCCATCTCCGCCCTCTTCTTCGCCCGCCTCTCGGACCGCTACTACTGGCGCATGCCCTTCGTTGCGATCCCTCTCGGTCTAATCGCCATCGGCTACGCTATCGTTATCTCCCTCAAGGGCGACCTCTCCGGCAACGTTGCGGCTGCTATGGTCGGTGTCATCATCACCTGCATGGGCATCTACCCCATCCAGCCCGCAGGTTCCTCCTGGGCCTCGAACAACTTGGCTCCCGCATCCCGTCGTGCCATCGGTGTCGCCTTCAACATCTGCGTGGGCAACATTGGTGGCATCATCGGCAGCTACATGTACCTCGACAGCGAGAAGCCCAAGTACTACACCGGCTTCGGCCTGTCTCTGGCCTTTGGCGGCAGCGGTGTCATCGTCGCGCTGCTGCTGGAGCTCAGCTACAAGTGGGAGAACAACAGGCGCGACAAGATGTCCGAGGCGGAGGTTCGAGCCAAGTACACCGAGGAGGAGCTTATGCGGATGGGCGACAAGAGCCCGTTGTTCAGGTACACTCTGTAAGGTTCACGTCGCGACTGACTAGGCACTGTTTGATGGCGTTGCTGGAGTACGGGTCCGGCACATCGACAAACACGGATTCACGGGAGGGTCAATTTTGGTGGATGTACGCAAGACTGTTAGACCATTTATCCATATTTAGCGATTGTTCACGTCAATTATCAGAAACAATCGCGTTCTGGCCCATTTTCTATTTCTTTAGGAAAGTGATGATGTGCGCTGCAATTCAGCTGTACATGAACGCTCAACTTTGCACACTGATGATCTGGAGATCTATAATCAAGCTCAAAATGATGATCAAACACAAAGACTGTATGTGTTCCATCGTTCTGGGTGCGATATGAAACAAAAGTTCGCCGTGACTTCAAGCTCATAGTAACATCGTTTAAGGGACTTACGTACTAGCCAACAGTTTGTGAAAAACGATCAGTTCCATCAACTACCTGGATAGGTCTACATTTACTCATGCCCTTATCTCCATCTACGGAGGTTCAAACTTTTTCAAGTATCCAAGATTCAGTGTATTGTCAGAAGTGCTGTTCATCGTTGTCTTTCGTCCCAAGAGTCAAGTTTGAAGTCTTCTAATCTCCGGTCAATCTCGGCGCACTTGACTCACACATCATCTCATCTGTTCTTCTATGGTCAAGGTCCCTTTGTATTACGGTTATGATCGGTAATAAAAGATCGGCCGAACGGGCAGAAAGCCAAGTGTTATCTCCAGATCTGCATGCAAGAGTTGCTTGCTCAACAGCATACAGCCTCGACATCCGGCATGATGTGCCGAGCGTAGCATCAGAGAATACATTGTGCAGCACCGTTGCCCGTCTGAATGCAGGCAGGACCCATCTTGCTGACATTCACATCATGAAACCGGGCAAAACCGGGCAAGCTCGTGGTGTCTTTTCAGAAATCCGTCGGTCTCTCCCCGCCCTCCCACCGGATCTTCCCCGGACCCGTCCACCTCCACGCCTCAAAGCAGGTCACACACACACGCCCTAGGGACAGCAACTGATTCAAGTAAGTAATGAATCGGCGGGTGTGCTACAGCGACCCTCAGCGCCCATTGGCTCCCCCGCTTCTGGCTGCAGACCCCTGTATGTTTAGCGCGTGCCCCCAGCCTCCGCCCCTCATCCTCCAGTCTTGTCCTTCCCCAGACAAATCCCCTCCGTTTTCCGTCGACTTCTGTCTCTTGCAACTCTTTCTTTTCCGACTTTCCAACCTCCTCTCCATCGACCGACTGTGCGCGCGCCCGCGTCACACCTTTGCTGGCTCTGCCAAGTGCTCCCCTGCCCGTCATCCCGGGTGTGCGACATAGTTTCCGGCTCCGGCCCGCTCACCGGCCAATGGACGAGTTCCGTCGCCCGCTCCCGGGCCCGGCCAGCCCGGCGGCCGCCGATGTTGCCCATCGCGCATCCTCAGCAGCAGCAGCCTCGGTGTCGAGTCCCCATGGAGGAGGAAGCATCGGCGAATCACGGAAAAGAAGCTTCAGCTCCGCCGATCACCAGTCGCCTCTGTCCGACGAGCAGCAACAGCTCAGCGGGCCCGGTGCTGCCGCCAACCGCCGCAAGTCGCAGAAAGTGAGCCGCGCATGCGACTTTTGCAAGCAGCGCAAAGCCAAGTGCAGCGGGACCATTCCCTGCGACAAGTGTACGCGCAAGGGCCTCACCTGCGTCTACGATGCCAAATACTCTCGTGGAAGACCTCCGACGCCGCCTCCGTCTGCTGTTTGGTCTGCAAGCTCTAGCACCTCTCACCCTGGCGGCCCGGCGTCTGGCTCTGAGGAGCCTCCTGTCATGTATCAGACAACCGAGACAGGGGGACGCACTATATCCGCACCGGTAATAGCATCCTCGTTGCGCGGCCAGGTGCGCGAGAGCCAGGGCCCAGCCTCAAGAGCCTCGCCCGAGCTTGGCATGGCCGAGATCCAGGGCCAGGTCTTCGACCCGACTTCGGGCGTCACTTTCCTTCACCGAGCGTGGAAGAGGCTGTCTAAACACGACAGCAGCATTGTGCCCGACTATCTCAACGCTTCAACGGAGAATCAGCCACTCATGCTGGCTGGTGACAAGCCTCTGCCGCCAATCACTGACGACGATGTCGCCAACTTCTCATTGCCCAGTTACGGAGAGCTCCAGCAACTGTTTGGCATGTACTTCGACGTCTGTATTGCCACGTATCGTGTTCTGCATCGACCGACGGCGGAGTCCTGGCTCAAGACAATGGTGAATAATCTCGCTCAGGGCAAACCTGTTTGGCATGACATCGGCCGCGCCAAGGCATCCATCGTACTTACGGCCCTCGCCGTGGCCACCGCTCACAGCGAGAAGTCCAAGGGCTTCCACGAGCCAGAAGATGAAAGGCTATCTCTCGCAAGGAGCGATCGTCTATTCTGCGTCGCACTCCAGTTGACCGAGCGTGAAACCGGCCTACCCAGGCTGGAATCCGCGCAATCTCGTCTCATTCAGGTGCTCTATCTACTCACAACCTCTCGGATGAACAGAGCGTGGTATACGTTCGGGAACGCACTGCAAATAATATCCGCCCTCGGAATGCATCGAAAAGCTGCGAAGAAGCGGCACTTGGCTGCGGGAAACTCAGACTACATCCAGGCCCAATGTCGGTCGCGAACATTCTGGACAGCTTACGTACTCGATAAGTATCTGGGCGTGATATTCGGTCGACCAAGGCATTTCCACGACGATGATATTGACCAAGACTTTCCCGAACGAGTTGACGACGAAGACATGACTGCGCAGGGGCCCATTGAACGCTTCGAAGAGCATTCAGATTGTCATATTGACGCCCTGATATGTCATGTAAAGTGAGTTTATCGGTCGTTCCGAACACTGATAGGAATTCAAAGCTAATCCTGTTCAAAGAATTGCGCAAATAATCGGCAACACGTCGAGGGAAGTCTACTCTATCAAGGCCATCTCGGAACAAGAACGAGTTGCCGCCGCACATCGCTTCAGCGAGAAGATTCACGAATGGCGCGCCAGCCTTCCACCACACCTGGGTTCGATAAGACCTTCGATGCTGATCCCCAGCTTCCGTCGCCAGTCCACTGTGCTGAAACTGGCCTACTCACATGCGATCATGCATGCAAATCGTCTGTTTCTCCTGGGTAATCTCAGTTCTGGCAGCGAGACACAGATCTTGGAATGTCTCGGCGCAGCGCGGACAGTACTGGAGACTGTTGACGGCATGGCCGCAGAAGGGCCCATCTTCCACGCTTTCTGGTGGACTCAATACGTCACGTTCTGCGCCTTACTTGTAACATACGTTTGGGACATACAGCAAAAGCGCCGGGGTATCTCGCTCGAGAGTGAAGGCAAGATAAAGCATGCGAAGCTCATGGACCTGGCTGAGCGTTGCCAAACACACCTCGCTCATGCAACAGCATCTAATTCTCCAAGTCGGCGATATGCCATAATCCTGGAAGAGTTCAGAACGGAAGGCCTGGGACAGATGACACGGAAAAACAACGGACAACCTCCTATGGCCTCGCAAGCTGCAGCACCTCGACCAGCTGCTCCCGCTGCGGACACCCAGACACAGCTACCCCAACCTCAAGGAAACGGAGCGACCACAATGGGCGGATTCGACTTCAACTCCGCATACGCTGCCGGATCTGGCACCGTCGATCTCATGGACCAAGGAGATCCAGGACTCCTTGGCTCCAACCTGCTAGACGAGTGGCAAACGACAGACTGGCTAGACCTCGACTCCTCGGCATTTGGCCCGTACTTGGACATTGACGCAAACCCGTACGCTTGGATGCCGGATATAGGTGGATGAGAAACATAGTCTATAATCATTCAAAAAACACTTTAACTATTTTAGACGGTGAACTTTGTCAGGTTTTCCGGCCCTGTCTCCTGCGCCACACGCTTGACTTCCTCCTCGCCTAGCTCCTGGAAAATGTCAAAGCCCCATCTCGTTTGCCAGTTGAACCTCTTGTTCCTCTCCAGGCCGTTCAGCTGCGCGAAGACATCCTCGGGCAGCTCCTGGACCTTGAAGTTGGACTCTATCCGGCTGGGAGTGACGCTCTTGGGCAGAACAACGGTGCCACGCTGCACACCCCAGGAGGCCAGAAGCTGGCCGCCGTCGATGCCCAGCTTCTTGCTCAGCTCGCCGACCAGGGGGTCATCCACCGTTCTCGGCTCGCCGGTCTGGTTGTTACCCAGAGGAGAGTAGGCAGCCAATTGTATGCCCTCGGACTTGCAGTAGCTGAGCAGATCGGGCTGCTGCAGGTAGGGGTGTGCCTCAATCTGGTTGACGGCAGGAACCGTCTTGGTCTTGGTGAGGAGATCCTCGATACGCTGCTTGGTGAAGTTGGAGACGCCAATGGCGCGGACCTTACCCTTTTCAACCAGCTTCTCCATCGCCGCCCACGTTTCCGCGGGGTCGATGTCGGCCAGCTCAAAGACTCCGTTGGAGTCGATGGGGAACCACTTGTCCGAAGGCTTGAAAGCACTGGATATCATGTCAGCACAATTCCGGGTTCACTTTCACACATTTATGCATTCGACTTACACGGGCCAGTGCATCAGGAACAAGTCGAGGTAATCCGTGCCCAAGTCCTTCAATGTCTTGTCGACACCAGACTCAACATCTTCGGCCTTGTGCTTGGTGTTCCACAGCTTTCCAGTGACAAAGATCTCTGAGCGAGGAACGCCGCTCTTGCGGATGCCCTCGCCGACCTCTGCCTCGTTGCGGTAGATGGCGGCGCAGTCAATGTGACGGTAACCGGCACGCAGGGCAGTCTCGACAGCACGCTCAACCTCGTGCGGCCCGGCTTGCCAGGTGCCGAATCCCACAGCGGGAATCTTTGCACCGGTGTTGAGGGTAAAGTGTGTGGTAAGAGGCATGTTGTGTAATACGGTGCAGGGATGATGGTGTTATCCGAGTGGTTGGCGTGTGAAGGTGTTACACTCCGTTGCGTTGACAGCGTCCGCCCCCCCTTTTTGCCGAAATTACGCACGCATAATCCCTGTATATACATGAAAATTTGCCCAACGCCACGTAGATATTCGTAGTACGGCAATTGACCTATTCTGATGGCTTCAATTGATCTATTTCTATTGAATCTCATTATCTGAGGGCATCGTGATGCCTCCTAAACGCCGCCGCGCGGCTCGGCAGGCGGATGATGACCCTTCTGGGCATCGTCCGTCACCCATCGCCAACGGTACGCGGAAACAACGACGTATACAACAACTGGCACAGGACGCCGCCAGAGATCCTCCTCAACGCTCTGCCTCGCCGTCGATCAGGATCGTTACGCCCGCCGAGAGGGCTCGCCGGGCTGCCGCCGCCGAAGAGGCCGCCGAGGAGGCCGCCGAGGAGGTTATCGTCGCCGAGGCTGGACCCGAGACTAATGATTTGGTGGCGGCTGAGTCTACATCGCGAAGAAAGCGTGTACTTATAGCCCCTCCGTCATCACGAAGAGCTCCAAAAGCGTCCTCTCGCCAAAAAGCAACGACAACGCAGAGGAAGCGAAAGAAGGATCCGCCGCATACGATCCGGCTCCGAAGTACTCTGCCTTCGTCGATGCCACCGTTTCGACCAGACTCGACCCCAGTTAACCCAACCCCTCGTCAAACCACTCGATTTGCGGACGATACGCCTACGGCCCCTCGCCATAGCGCTGATGATACGTTTATGTCGTTCCACGATGTATTTGAAGAGGAGGACGATATGGGTAACGAGGAACCAACTCTGCTACAAATCCAGGTTACCCGTGGCCCAGCGCTCAAGGGTAACGGTTTACCTGTTCTCGATCTAACCATCGAGAGCATCGCGTATAACAGATTCAGTATTGCTCCTGTATTAGATGCGAATAGTAGAGACTGGGAGGCAGACAGCGGCGCCCAACTTGAGGCAGAAGTGGCTCACTCGTATATTGTGAAGAAGGCCAATATCGCTGTTGTCGTTGCTTGGAGGAAGCCCACCAACGCATCTAAACCAACACCAATCTTCACTCGGGTCTATCCGTCTACTGGAGGGGTCACTTGGCCAAGTATTCCATGGGTTGATATTGTCCCCTCTCTTGAACAAGCTGAAGAGAGGGGTGAAGTCCACCTCACCGTCAAGTGGCAATACAGCGCCGTACCAATCTCTGGTGGTATAGTGACTGGCGTACGAACGCCTCGAAAAGGTGGCCGAGCAGGCGTTTCAGCCGGCATGCAAGAGGCGATCGATCGTGAGGCTAACGATCCTGCAAACGTCGAGCGTCGGAAGGAGGGTATGCACAGACAACTTCTCCGTACGCACATCTGCCCAGAGTACCAGAGATGTAAGAATAGTTCGGGCGACGAGAAGTTCAACTGGTGCTATATACTAGGCCAGAAGCACTACAAGATCAAATCTCACCATATAGAGAAGTGGGCGAAGGCTATTATGACTGGACAGGCTGGCGTTGACAATATGGAACCACCTAAAGAACTGCTTGGTGAGATTCTTCACGACCAGTTTATAGAGGATCAGAAACGCCAGGGCAAGAGAAGTAAGAATATCGTGGAGGTTGATGATAACCAGGAGACGACAGTGATGACGGAAGAGAAGGCTGAAAATGCCGCACTTCCATCATCAGGGTCAAGATCTGGCCTAACCAACGCCAACAGCAACGCCATCGTCAATATATACGGCAACGCGGGGGCGCCAGATCGTCATCTTCAATATCCTAACCCATACGTACAGCTGCCGCCGCCGGCGCCGCCGCCGCCGGCATATTGGCCATATGCGAACATCTCACAGTATTCGTTGCCAACTCTTCCGCCATTGAACCTTCCAAGCACTCGTCAACCAAGTATCGCACTCCCGATTCGTTCGTCCTCGCCAGTGGTACCGGATTCGCCTCGAAAAGCTCTAGATCAAGTGGCCAGCTTCATCAAGTGGTTTATATCCGTCCGCGGCAAGCGATATAACGTCGACGAAGGGTTCAGAAAGAAGCTACAGAAACTGCGATCAGTAGACAGTAGCTTGCGGGCAATTCGCAAGTTACCAGATATTTGGTTTACTGAACAGGGTTTTACTCAAGATCTTACCGAAGATGTCAGGAACTCGATCAAATCCTTCATAGACAACAGCGCCTACTACGGAGGGCAGTCTGACGCCCTCTCCGACGTGGTATCTCACTCTGAACTTCATTCAAACCATCGAGAGTCAGAAGGAGATGTTTATACAAGAATATACGCTGGATTGCCAGGAGGGACGGCGGCGGCGCCAGTTGAAAACTCTGCGGCGCTAGTTTCAGGCGAGTTGGGGTCATCCCGACATATCGACGCCCTAGTGCCACGTCAATCCATCGAGCAAGAGATCCGTGGTACGCCAGTTGAAGTTGGTCGACGTGGTGAGTGTATATAGAGCTGTTTACTGTCGAATATGGCTAACTTTGTAGGCGTTTCGGAACTCTTTGGTTTCGTTTCGTCACCACTGCTGTCAGCGTCGCAGATGCTGCCCACGCAGTTACAGATCGAACAAGACGAAATCGAGCAAGGCGATGAGGACAATCAGATTGAAATCTCGAGTGATACGTCGTCAACAGAGACGTATTACTCGGAGGAGGATAACGAAGAAGAGTGATACAGCAAGAGTGGTGTGAAGTTTGACTGTATGCGCGATTTTTTTGCATGACGTGTTCAACCACGGAAAAGTCTACCCATAGCCGTAGATTCAACACTGCCGCTCTATACGTATAAAAGCAATAGAATTACTGTTATTTTGGATCTGCAAACAATACACTTCGGTCCATCCCGATACTGGTTAGGGGCAGTTGAAGTCTCTGACTATGGTTGAAGTCTCTGATCGTGATGACGTGTCATCATCACAAATCATCGTCACAAGCATCAACAACGCGTTTCAGCCGTTATACAGGCAAAATTGATATGTATACGTAGCTACCGACGAAAACAATGGACGACGGTATATTTTTTGTGTTCTGGTGCGCTTGTGGCTAACCTTTTGGCAATCTTGTTGGCTACAATCATGGATTTGATGATTGACCATCATATGACGACACGATTAAGATCTATTGCGCGCGAACGCACGATGAAAATTTGGATTGCTTGCTGATGTTCAATATTGGCAGCAAATCCTCCCTTTTATAGTTCGATATCGTCAAATATATGCTCTGTCCCATCAAAGTTGACGAACGAATGGCGGAAATGGCCCTCGATCTGGGGTAGACGATACCCAATCTCCATAGCGCAGTCACGTAGATATTCCATGAAATCCCGAGTGTCATTCTCATCGTTGTTCCACTTCGAATACGTCTTCCTGATGTATCGCTTTAGATCGCCGAAGTACTCTTCGATGGGGTTGAAGTCTGGTGAATACGGAGGCAGAAACTCGAGATGGACACCTGATACCCGGCATAAACCCTCGATTTCAGGTATACGATGGCAGGAGAGGTTATCCATAACGATGACAGAGTTTGGCTCTGGAAAACGCCCACATTTCGGGATAAGGCACTCCTGTAGCCAACGAAAGAACCCATCGCCGTCAGTCGTACCATAATACGTAGTCAAGTGTAGGATACCGCTCAACGTGAGGGCTGGCAGGATCTGTACGCGAGAGTTCTGAAACCGATCAATCTCTGCAGTTCGAAACGCAGCAAGCCCTTTCGGCGCCCATCCAGTCCTCCGTATCCCAGTATCCTTATTGACGCCGGATTCGTCGACGAATACCAGCTGGTCGGGGCGATATCGTCGTATACGGTACAAGTACTCGTATCGTAGTTCGTCACTTCGCTGAGCAGCAATAATCTTGGACTTCTTGTTCGTCCAGCCAGCTGAGTTTAACTGTCGACTGATTGCAGAACGACTGATCTGGATCTCGAAGGCTTCAAATAGGAAATCTTGCATCTCTTCAAGAGATAGATCGCTGCGGTACTGCAGTAGTTCAAGAAGCTCTGTACGATGCCATATTTCCATCTTTTGTCGACTCTGGCGGCACCTCTTATATCTCTGCACTTCGCCAGTGATATTACGTCGTGATCTATGTCGTCGAATCGTTCGTTCGGTACAGCCAACGATACTTGCCAGCTCGTGGGTCTTTTGGTCTTCGAATGGCAGTATCATCGCGATCGTCGATAGCTGTAGATTCGATATTCTGGGCGCCATTGTATCGTCGTCGTCGCCCGGCGTCTTTCTCGATGTATCTGATATAATAAACCACGGACATGTACTGACCAGCGGCAAACTGTAAGTAACAGGGCACAATCTATACAGCAGTAGACTCTTGCTCAATATCGTGAACAAGCTGAGCTATCAGGAGAGTCATTAATCCTGTTGACTGCCAAAGCATTTGCTCTGAAGAACCGTATCAAGCCCCTTGGTATGCTTATATATTACTCAGAGCCATACAAACCGTATGCTGAGTAGATATATAAAGTCATACAGCAGGTCTCTTCTTCTGTTCCTCAGCAAATGTCATCTTGATCTCTCATGACGAAAATAGACCTTTTGTTGGTCGAATGGTATGGGGATGAGGTGACTAGCTGGGTTGGCAATGCCTCGATGGGTAGATTGACTGCTACGGAAGCATGAAATACACACCTTATGTCTCTATCGTGTAGTTATACGTTTGAATACTACTGGGACTATAGTGATTGACGGCAATTGAGGTGTTGGTGATGACTTTGACGCGTTTTGCGTGCGATGCAGAGAAATGCGCGTCACAGCGTAAAATTGGCTTTTTTTCATGTTTTTGCATAAGCGGGGAAAAAAAAGGGGGGCGGACGCTGTCAACGCAACGGAGTGTATGAGGGGTGTGGACAGGTAACAAACAAGGTGCTCGAGTGATGATGTGCCAAAACAGGTGACTTTGAGCAACAGGACAAGAAGATAATAAATCGGTTTCAGCCACG